TTAAACCTTAAACTTGATATTATTTAGGGTTTGGGGATGATTTTGATATTATTTAGGGTTTAAACCATAAACTTGATATTATTTAGGGTTTGGGGATGATTTTGATATTATTTAGGGTTTAGGGTTTGGGGTTTAAACCTTAAACTTGATATTATTTAGGGTTTGGGGTTTGAGAATGATTTTGATATTATTTAGGGTTTAGGGTTTGGGGTTTAAACCTTAAACTTGATATTATTTAGGGTTTGAGAATGATTTTGATATTATTTAGGGTTTAGGGTTTGGGGTTTAAACCTTAAACTTGATATTATTTAGGGTTTGGGGTTTGAGAATAATTTTAATATTATTTAGGGTTTAGGGTTTGGGGTTTAAACCTTAAACTTGATATTATTTAGGGTTTGGGGTTTGAGAATGATTTTGATATTATTTAGGGTTTAGGGTTTGGAGTTTGAGAATGATTTTGATATTATTTTAGGGTTTAGGGTTTGGGGTTTAAACCTTAAACTTGATATTATTTAGAGTTTGGGGTTTGAGAATGATTTTGATATTATTTAGGGTTTAGGGTTCCGGTTTAACCCTGACCCCTAAACCCTAAGTCTAAACCTTAAACTAATATTATTTACATTGATATAATATTGTCTAATTTGACCGCTTCTTTTTTAATTATCAAATATGAAATTTTAACAAATAAAAAAATCTAAAATTTAATTGAAAAAATAATTTAATTTTGTCTCGCAATCACATCATGTTTAATAGATTTGATACGTGGGTATGTTACTTAATATGGAGTGTTATTTAACCCGTTAAATTTAATGTATAAAATTAGAGGAGATATTTGTGGGGATGAAATAATAAATAAAGTAGAGTTGTGTGTACTTTTTATGCCTTTTTGTACAATTTTTTTTAAATAATAATTATATATATATATATGACATATTGATTTGGACATTTGCCTTCCAAAATGAGTCCTTTCCAATTCACCCATTTAAGTTACGAGTACAAAATATAAAAAATAAAAAATAAAGTATTATAGGATTCCGAAAGCTTCGAGAGGCTATTTTACGATGACGGTCGACCTACCATAAGGGATTAATTGCACAAGGCCCTTGTAGCAAAAAAGCTTGATCCCAACTTCATCATGTTCGTTTATTTGAAGAGAACGAATTTTCTTCTTTATTAAGTCGGTATAACCATTCAACCATGGATGCGAAGAGACTCGAGCGAAAGGAATACCTCCTTCAATTAGCAAAAAAAAAAAAAAATGGACAAAGGTCTGATTCAGCACAGAGAAGGGTAGGTTAGCTTTCCTACCCAACCAAAGGGCGACAGTGGTACCAATCAAAAAGACATATTCAGATATTTTTTTTCTCCCTTGTGAATGCATGATATGTTTGACTATTTCCTTAAAGATAACCAACTCCGTTCTAGTTTGACCATCTTTATAAACAATGATTGGTTCGTGGGATCTCACAATCCACCTTCTTCATAGGCCAGCGCCCTCGTTGGCACACTGCCCAGTGTCTGGCTTTGATACTATTTGCAATGGCTCAAGCTTACCACTGCCAGATATTGTCTTATTTGGGCTTTCTCTTCTGGGCTTCCTCTCAAGGCTTTAAAACACGTCTACTAGTGAGAGATTTTCATACCCTCTTAAAAAATGCTCTATTTCCCTCTCCAACCAATGTAGGATCTCACGGTAACCATATCCCAATGAATTTTTAACCCTAATATTAACGTGTGATGTCCCACATTGGTTGGAGTGGAGAACAAACCACCATTTACAAGGGTGTGGAAATCTTCCACTAGCAGACGCATTTTACAGCTTTAAGGGGAAGCCCGAAAGAAAAAGCCTAAAAAAGACAATATCGACTAACGGTAGATCTGGGTCGTTACATAACGTATTTAATTAGCCAAAATGAAAGCTAAAGGGAACTCATAATCCCCGTTAAGGCAATGGAGTGCCACACGAAGTCTTTGACAGCCCATACTTTGGGAGAGAATGGCGTATAAAATGATAGTGGAACCTTCAAAAAGAGTATATAAAAATGAGTTTGTTGGGTGATTCCCCCACTTAGGGGATAAACAATCAAATTAGGGTTTTTAATTTTGAAGGCCCAATTTGTTGCTGCCAACCCCATTTCTTCAATCATTTCCATTTGTTTAATGTTAATTACACTACTAAAAAGGCAATTAAGGCTACTAATTGATTACCAAAGAGCCTTCAAATATGAGGGCTAGGGTTAAGGTTAGGGACCAAGACACACTCTCCCACATGTAGCATGTGTGTTCTTGGGTTAGTCAATTAAAATTAAGCTTTTTATGAACCTTATTTTGCAAACCCTAATGAAATTGGGTATTTTTTTAATGTGAATAATCCTTGAAGTATGTATTTTGTGGTGGAGAGTGAAAAAGGGTGTTCATGGGGTTTAGGGTAGGGAACCCTATTTAGTGCCCTAAACGAGATCCTACATCTATGTCTATCCGGACCTTATTTCACTTTTACTCATATGGGTTTTTGTTTCAAAGATCGTACTACCTTTTGTGCGGGTTGAAATTTACCCGACAAGGAATTTCACTACCTTAAGACCATTATAGTTACGATCACTGTTCATTGGAGTTTTGATCGTCATCTCCACTGCTTGTTTATAGTCAATGTTGACCCTTAAATTAGGACTCAATGCACTGGTCTAATTGGACACAGGTCTTAGATTTGAGTCAACGTACCCGAGAGTGAATTGTATCTTTCACAACATAATATTGTGTTTCATCATAAAAACTCTAAAACTATTTATGATTCGAGGCTTATAAGAAAGTAGGGGTGAATTCATCCATTTATAACTTTTTTTCATAAAAAATTTCTAGCTTTGACCCTGGTCGACCTTCGGTATCAGCTAGGTTATAAAATATGAATATGAATTTTACGTCAATTCATGTAAAAGCTCGTATTTCTTTTTGTTTTGTATTATCGTTTAAGTTTTGATCTTGAATCTCGACATTTATTATACTCGCACTAAAGATAAAAAGTTTGGATTTTTATGGATATTTATTTGAAAAGATTGAAACTTTGGGGAATAGGATTGAGTGTAATTTTAAAACAAGAGGAAGGCCAGATGTTCAAAAGGAAGCAAACGCAGCAAACGCTTTTTCTTTGCCATTCTTTTTCAATTGCTCTTTTCCACAACTCCGTTGGTTTTGTTGAATGGTGGATTTACAATACTCAGTCTTTTGGGGCAGAGAATGTGCATGCTTCTACACTAACCCCAGATGCTGACCGCGGGCAGCTTTTCAGAGAGAGAAAGAGAGAAGAGAGAAAAAGAGGCAAAATATGGGTTCATCGGGCAATGCTGGCTCGGACGGGTACCCTATAGATCCACAGAACTTCCCCATCTCCCAAAATTGGGGTTCTCCTTAAATTTTGAGCACAAAAGCTTTTAAAGCGTTCAAATTCGAAACCCATAAGAGTTCTTCATTGCTTGTTCTTGCCTCACTTGGAATCTCAACCTACCCTTTGATCGCTGCCCCATTGGGTTTCCATTTCGTATCTCCTTTTCTAAGCTCTTTTGACTCTGTTTTTCCCATTACTTGTTTGAGCATTGGTGAAATTAGAAGACCCAGTTGGGCGATTCCCTTTGTGGGCGGTTTTGGGCTATGTGTTCCTGTTTGGTAGCTGGGAAAATCATAATGCCAAGAAACAGAGATTTTCCTTGTTCACCCCTTTTCTTCTCTCTCTCTTGCTCCCTTGATAGAACAGAGGATTGCCCATTTGATTATATGCTTTCATTTCTTTTTACTTCATCATTATAGAACAAGGGCTTGTGTTTTTCCTCACTCAAAACTGAAATTTGTGGTGGGTTTCTACTTATTGCTGTGAATCTGGGGGTTATATGAACTTTGTACAACAATGAGAGATGAGAATTCGAAGAAAAACAAGGTTAGATAAACGCTTTGTTTGTTGCTTTTGTGTGTATTCTCTAAAGTTTTCTTATATGCTCCTGTTCTTACTGTTCTTACTGTTCTTAATGAAGTTTTCATGGCCTAAAACACTGGTTAAGAAGTGGTTCAATATGAAGAACAAGGCTGAGGATTTTGTATCAGATGAAATAGCTTACAGAGGTGATTACTCCTTGTGTTTGGTATAATTTCTAAGCCCGAAAAATGCCGAAAAATCGAGTTCTTTTTTGTTGTTGATGGATTTGAATGCGTGCGTTTGATGATGATGAACTGGGAAGTAAAAGCATAGCTTTAGCATTCTTTTGTTGTTGGTGTGTCTTTTTCAGGTGGCGATCAAGAGTGGAGGAACAGGGAGACGTGCACTGTCAAGAAAAGCAAAACAGGTTGGTTCAATTTCAGACATCTCTCAATTGTTCTCTTTTGGACCACAACAGCCTTAAAAACTCCAAAAAATGGACAAATAATATGTCTTAATCGTTCCTCGTTGTCTGCTCCCGAATTCGTTTACAGACCGATCCAACAAACGGTATCCAGATCGAACCCGGAGAGGCAAGATTGACCTCAATGCTACACAAGTTACTGATGTGCAAAATTACAGGTAGCCTCTCTTTTTTGTTGCTGTTTGTTGGATTTGTTCTTTGTTTGCTTATCTGTTTTGTGTGGACAGGGTTTTTGTTTCTACTTGGAATGTGGCTGGTAAGTCTCCTCCTAATTGTTTGAATCTCGAAGACTGGCTTCATACGTCGCCTCCAGCGGATATCTATGTTCTTGGGTATATACCAAAATCGATATGCAATCTCTTTGTGTTGCCGTTTTATTCGAAAGTTTGGAGATAGTCGAGGAGAAGCTTAGCGTTGCTTACTTTTGTAGGTTTCAAGAAATTGTTCCTTTGAATGCTGGTAATGTGTTGGGCACAGAAGACAATGGTCCAGCCAAGAAATGGTTGGCTTTGATTAGGAAGACTCTGAACAGTCTTCCTGGCACGAGTGGGAGTTGTCGCACGCCTTCTCCTATCCCCGACCCAGTTGTGGAATTAGAAGCTGATTTCGAAGGAGCAACGAGGCAGAAGGGTTCGTCGTTTTTCCATCGAAGATCGTTTCAATCACTGAGCCGTAGCATGAGAATGGACAATGACATGTCTGTGCCACAACCACGACTCGATCGACGGTTCAGTGTCTGTGATCGGGTTATGCTTGGACATCAACCGTGTGATCATGATCCCAGTTACCGATGGGGATCCTCAGATGATGAGAATGGAGATTCGCCCGTTGCCTCACATTATTCACCTTTCTCTTATAATGGTTTTCTTCCCATGGAGGATCGAGATATTAGGCATTCCGGTCACTCGAGGTACTGTTTAGTTGCTAGCAAACAAATGGTTGGCGTATTTTTGACCGTATGGGTGCGGAACGATCTCCGTGATGACATTCGAAACATGAAAGTATCTTGCGTCGGTCGAGGATTAATGGGTTATCTTGGAAATAAGGTAACGAATTTGTTTAGTTTATGCATCAAACTTGAGGAGCCATAACATAAACTGAATCCAAATTTCTTTATGGATATGCAGGGATCCATTTCCATTAGTATGTCTTTGCACCAAACAAGTTTCTGCTTCATCTGCACTCATCTGACCTCGGGTCAAAAGGAGGGTGACGAACTTCGGAGAAACTCCGACGTCATGGAGATTCTCAGAAAAACACGGTTTCCTCGAGTCCACGGCATGGGAGACGAGAACTCTCCTCAGACAATTTTAGAGCACGAGTAAGAACTCTGATCATTGAACAAACGTTGCGTAAAACGTATGAACTCTGGTTGTTGGTTGAATGTTATTAACCTTACCTAAAAGTTTGTCATTGTGATTGTCCTGTCCCAGTCGAATTATTTGGCTCGGGGACTTGAATTATCGGATTGCATTGTCGTACCGATCGGCAAAGGCTCTCGTGGAGATGCAAAATTGGAAGGCGTTGTTAGAGAACGATCAGGCATGATGCTACAAATCTTCTTTAAGAGCAAAAACATCCTGTTCTTTCAGGTACGACTCGAGCCATGTTCTCACTTGATCTAAGATCGTAATATCCTGTTCTTTCAGTTACGACTCGAGCAAAGACGGGGCCATGTCTTTGAAAGATGGAATGAAGGAAAGATATACTTTCCTCCCACGTACAAGTACTCAAATAATTCAGACCGATATGCTGGAGATACGAGGCACCCGAAGGAGAAGAGAAGAACTCCTGCTTGGTATGAAATTGTGTTTACATTCAAAACGATACGACATGTACCCTCTCTGAAAATGTTGGTTTTAACCTCGATTATACGTGAAGGTGCGATCGCATACTATGGTACGGAAGAGGCCTTCACCAACTGTCGTATGTACGTGGAGAATCAAGATTCTCAGATCATAGACCCGTGTACTGCATGTTCTTAGCCGAGGTCGAATCTATAAACCATAGCCGCATCAAGAAAAGTATGAGCTACTCGAGTTCCCGAATCGAAGTAGAAGAGCTGTTGCCTTGTATGTATGGACACCCTGAAATGAACTTCTGAGGGATATTCTTTCCACAGCCTGCTTTACCAAGCCAACCAACAACGTATGATCTAATCTCATACTCTACAAGGTAACTAATTAGCCAAATCCTAAGTATATCTATATCTTTCAAGCTTACCTTATAATAATCATACTTCCATGGCTGTTACCAGGTCGGACTCCTTCAGCGTTCGACCATCATACTCGATTTCCTCATAAATCCAACTAAAACTCACTCTCTCAAGGTACTCCCGTTATCTCCCATACTCGAAAAGCACGTCTTAATATGTACTCATTATTGATCAAGTTTGATATCTATTGTAACGGCCCAAGTCCAGTGCTAGTAGATATTGCCCTCTTTAAGTTTTCCCTTTCGAGCTTCCTCTCAAGGTTTTTAAAACGCGTCTGCTAGAGAGAGGTTTTCATACCCTTGTAAAGAATGTTTCATTCTCCTCCCCAACCGATGTGCGATCTCACAATCCACCCCCTTCAGGGCTCAACGTCTTGACACTCGTTCCCTTCTCCAATCGATGCAGGACCGCCCAATCCACCTCCCTTCAGGGCCCAGAATCCTTGATGACACACCGCCTCGTGTCCACCCCCTTCAGGGCTCAGCCTTGTGCCCACCCTCTTCGGGGCTTAGCCTCCTCACGGACACATCGCCTTGTGTCTGACTCTAATACCATTTGTAACGGCCCAAGCCCACCCCTAACAAACGTGTTTTAAAAACCTCGAGGGGAAGCCATAAAGAGAGCAATATCTACTAGCGGTAGGCTTGTACGGTTACATCTATTCTGGGGTAAATGGTGTAGTAACTTTAATTTTGAAGCTACCCAATTCAAAATCTGATAGAACAAGAATTACAAAGCATTTACTCTGAAACCCACTGCAGCAAAAGTTGTATTGTTTCAAGAACAAGTTAAGGTTTAGATATGTTGGTTGGCCTTATTACCCCACTTTTGCAGTGCTGCAGAAATGGAAAAAGAAAAGGAATAAGTTGCTTCTTTTACACAGCAATGGCACCCCTCTGAGTATCTGCAACATCAACAACAAGGTCCATTATGAGCTCTCTCTCTCTCATTCTCTAAGCATGCCACCAATTTCTTCACCACTTTATGATATCAATGCTTCATTTTTTCCACTCATCACTGTGCAGGTGGTGCCTACACACTGCAAATCTGTTCATCACTAAGATTCAAACTCATATGTTCAACAAAATAAACAACAAATTCAATTGTTCATTGCTGGTGATGATTCTTTTGTATTATTTCTATAAATGGTTTAATAATATTTATATTTGTTCATACATTTCTTTTATTTTCTATTGTTTATTTTATGCTTTATCTTTAATTCAATTTGACCAAACTTAAATTTGTCTCACTCAAAATGAAATTGGTTTGAATCCTATTTTGTCCTTTGAAAGATTCTTCAAATTTTTTTTTTTTTTTGGAGAAAAGATATATATTCTTAATTATAATTATATCAAACAAAATAAAAATTCAATTGTCAAATGGGGGGTTTTTTTTTTTACATGAAATTAAATTATTAAAATAAATAAAAAACTCAAATTAAATAAGAAATTATTAAAAAAACATGATATTCCGTTAAACGTTGGAAACGTCGTATTCCTCGAGATGTGTTATGTTTTTCATGGGCCGTTGACCGTTTAATAAAAGCCAACGTCCAAACACCGTCCAGGAAAATAATAATAATTAATAATTCCGCATAAAAATAAAATATTTTTACCTTTCTCTATTTTCAACGGAATATAATTACGTGGCGAGGTCCCATTGGTGAAGTTGGTTCAGTAAAGTTCTGATTACTCCAAGATTTCTGATACTCTTTTTTAGAAATATTATTATTATTATTATTTTAATTATTTCCACGTCAGCGTCTGATACCAATCCAGAATATCAAAACGCTTATTATATTAATCTCGTTTATAATTTTAAATTTTTGAAAAATAATTATTTTGATTTGCAATCAATTGACAAAATATCGTTTTCATAAATCATAAATAAGAAAATTACGTAATCTTTTTATTAAATGAGAACAAAACAGGTTAAAAAAACTCGTGTTGCTACGTAGAAATAGTAGTTATTTTTTCTTAAAAGTAACGAGTAAATTACGTACTAAATATGAATTCTAAACATGGGTCGTTTACAAAAGTTATACTACTAGACTTCTTCCACGTAATTTGGAGACATAAACACGAGATTTGAGGGGATTTGAATGAAATAAAGGCATGAAGTTTGGGAAAGGGAAGAGGAGAGAGAGAAAGTAAAGGGAAAAAATGGAGGTGGGGTAAGGGTTGGTTGCCATTTTTTATGAAGCAAAGAAAGAACAGGGAAATGAAGAAGAAGAAGAACAAGAACAAGAACAGAAGAAGTTCAATTCCCCAAAATTCAAAGCATCAATCCATCAAATCACCATCCTCTTCTTTACCCTACTTTTCTTTTTGATGAATCCCATGATGTAAAATCATTTTTTCTTTTTAACCTTTTGACTATGTTATGCCAATATTTTGATATTTACGAGTATTCAAACGTGCACGTTGAGTGATATATCGAGATAGTCATCTAAAAAAAAAAAAAAAAAAAAGACTCCGTTGGTAATTTTTTTTCCGTAACTAGGTTAAAATATATTTTTTATTACTGTATCTAATACTAACTCTATTTCGTGTTTATCGTAGAAAAAATATTTAAGAATGGTGTGAAACCCATGAATTTTATGGGCAGTTAAATTTTGAATAGAAGTATGTACTAACCTAGTGTCCTAGTGCAAAATGTAACGTTAATCATTGTTTATTAGTTCAAATGGAGAGTTAATAAATAAATAATATTGTGCATTAAATTAAATATTAAATGATTTAGCTGTATATGACGTCAGGAGGATTTTGCATACTCTGTCACTGCAAGTGATGACGTCATTCGATGTGTAAGATGCCTCAACTCTTGGATTTAAAAATATTTTAATATTCATTAGCCTTTTCACTAAAAAACAAAAAAACAAAACAAAACTAAATTGAAGTTCAGAACAAAAATGATATTTTAACTATTGTAAATATCGTCAATCTTAGGTCATTTCACATCCCAATGAAAGAATTAGTTTCGAGTTAATTTATAAATTTCTAGAATTTTTAATATTTGAGCTCTCTCAAAACCAAAGGTGACTTTTAAGAGTTGAGTTTAGCTCAGAAAGTTTAAAACTAAATAGATAGAACATTCAAAGTTTGATAAACCGAATTTCGTCATTTGTTATAGGTATGAATTTATAAATAGGGCAATGATACTGTACGATCCCACATCGGATGGAGAAGAAAACGAAACATTCTGTGTACGGGTGTAAAGACCTCTTCCTAACAATATGCATTTTAAAACTATAAGAGGAAGCCCAAAAGAGAAAGTCCAAAAAAGACAATATCTGCTAACGGTAGGTTTGAACTGTTAGGAATGGTATCAGAGCCAGACACCTGATAGTGCGCCAACAAAGACATTGGGCTCCCAAGGGGGTAAACTGTGAGATCTTAGATCGGTTGGAAAGGGGAATGAAACAAAGTGACTTCGAAGGCTTCGAGAGGCGGAATGTAAGGTCTCACATCAGTTGGAGAAGAGAACAAAACATTCCTTAGCTTGAGAGCTTCTATAAGAGGGCAAGGAGAACCGTAAGATAACTTTGAAGGAAAGCACAAATAAGATAATATCTAACGGGGTAGAACCCATCACGTTAAAAGAGTATTGAAATGTGAGGAAGGGTGAGATATCCAATAAATAGCAGTAAATAGCAAGTCTTATATGGTTAAGGGTGGTGTGTGTGTCTGATTCTGAGCAAGCATAGCAGTCAGTGTACTACAACTCTGTCCTAACTGAAACGCTTACACCTCCAAACTTATTAAATTCGGCAAGAATGGAGGTTGGTTAGCTTTGGCTACGCTGCATTGAAAGCAGCAGGCACATTTTTTTGGGACAACCAATGAATTCACTTCACTACTCTTTAAATTTGGTTCAGCCAAAGCTCATTTATCACAGCAGAAGACGCAACAATATGTATACATGGAAATGAGCTGCAGCAGCAGCTGCTGATACAATCCTGACACTGTTAACGCACGCTTCAAAACTACAATGGCAATCATCATCAATGCCATCCCCTCCTCCCGACCCTCTGATGCTCTTTTCCTGCCCACCACCTCTAAGCAGCTTCGTGGTGGTGATGGTGGTGGGTAGCTAAATTTAACCATATCAAGAGGTAGATATCAGTATTCACAATCAGTGGGGTTTAACTTGAGAAACAAGGGATGTCAGAAGATGAGAGGGGTTGTGGGGACGACTAATTATGAGTCAAAACAATGAAACCAGGGCAGAGAAGCCAATTGGGAGAGAAAAGGCCATGTGGTTTTGTGGGTAAATGACCTCACTCTCTGCCTAAACACTGCAAAAAAATAATCAATGGGGCTTTGTTTTTATGTCTGTGTTTGCCAGCTTAAGCATATGGAGTAATAAAGAGCCAAACGAGGGAAGTCCTCGATTTGGTTCAGTGACTCAGTCCGATCCACAATGTTTTACCTTTTCTTGGGATGGTGTTTGTTGTTCCCGCATGGTACCGAACTGTGGCCGATGGAATCGATCATCAAAGATCCAAGGTGCCCTACAAAACAAAGGGAGCTAGATTAACATATAGAACAAATTCATATTTTAAGTACATCAATACAAACCAACCCATTTCTTAGAAGCCAAGGTCGATTCTGTCTTCCTTTACATACTGATGACTCTTTCCCTCTCTATCCTGATAGAAACTGAGCTAAATCCTTGGTCTTGTCAGCTTCTAAAAACTGAACATATGGGTGTTATTATTATAGTCCTAAATTTGTAATCCCACATGTTGTGAAGTGAATCCATCCAAATCTCTACCCTTCCACTACGTGGTAGCCTTTGAAATAGCTTTGGTAAGAGACCATTCCCTTAGGGAAGTTAAGTTCCTGGTTCAGTCAATGCCGGCACAAGTATGTAAACTTACAGCCCATAGCAGAAGAAAGCTCATTTTATTTATGATAAAAGCCTGTACAAGGGAAGGAGTAGCTTGAGTCGCTACAGCCTAGCCATAACTAGTTAAGTGTTCCGCATATATACACCATTTTTACATTTGGTTCTTTCTTCAGTACTTCAGTTTCAGGCATCAGTCCATTCATGTTCTTGTTGGTTTGGTCCTGGGAGGAAGAACTCTTCTTCTTGCTGTCTGAAGATTCTTTCAACTTCTCTTCCTGGTGTGTTGAATCCCAACTCTCTTGCTACGCTCTCCATCTTGTTCACTATGTTATCTTTCCCTGCAATTTTTTAAATAGACAGCTCAAGATTTTAGCAATGAATGTGGCTTGGTGAGAGCTGAGCAGAAACTTCGAAAGAAGTTCGTCGTGTTTTTGAGTTATGATCAAAGAAAGAATGAGATCTACATTGAATTGGGTAGACATTGACATGATACCAGCTGAAATATCCAAAATTTTATGTACAATTGTCTATGATTTTGGATTCAAATTCAGTTGTCCCAAAAGGTTTCCTTGCGCCCTCAAGTGCAAAGGCAAGAGGGAGCTGGACTGCAAGACCCCACCCATCAAAGACCCAATTACAGTGTAAACATCTAGGTTTTCAATATAGTTCAAAGCTGGTTAATCAGATTGATTTATACCTGCTAGAAGATACTTGGTGTTGCCATAGGCATTGACTTCGAAGCAAACAATCTGAAGATTGTGGTTTGGAGAGGCAAAGACTGAAAAAGGATGACCTGCCGGAATTATGAACACCACCCCACGTCTCAGCCGCCCTCTAATCTTCTGGTAAGTCCCCTCGCCCATCCGCTTATGCTCTCGCTCCGACCACCGGCCACCTCTCCCGGACGATGATGAAAGGTGCGGACACGCCATTTGGAACCCCCCTTCGCCGTCCACCACCACGGCTATTTTCGTGGCTTTGGAGTAATAGTGAGGAGTCATCATTGAACCCTTCAATGGAAAAACACAGCAAAAATAAGCAAGCAACCTGCAGCTTACAAATGAACCAACCTACGAAGTAGAAGTAAATCATACTTTGGTCATATTGGCGAAGGCGACAGCAACATTGAGGTCTCGAAGCTGGCGGAACTCGCCAGGATCGGCTTCAAAGAGACGACCGAACTTATTCGACTGCCATGGATCTTGCTTGAGCAGATTGAATGGACGCTCAGTTTCACCTTCTGAGAAGGGCCAAATCCTTGGGATGAATTCTTCAGGTCGGCTAAGAGATCGGATCTGTTCTCTAGAAGCCTTGATTATGGTCCCCTCTTTTTGTTGCTCGAAAAATCTCTTCAACTTATCTTTTGGAATCTGTTCGGCAGCCAAAAGTTAGAAGGAATACAAGTATATATACATACATATATATATATATATATAAACCTAACACACTGTTTAGGCAGTTTATAACCTTGAAGGCTGCTTCAAGCAAGTCCCAGCTGAAAGCTGTGTAGAATGATTCTGGGTTTTCACCGCCTGGCTGGAAAATCTGCTCCAAATATTCATTCTCAGACGAATTCAACAAAACAAAAAGACCCATGATACGAAATATGGTATCTAAATATGCCATAATGATTTAGATCTATTTTAGCTTTGTTGAAAGCTAGGCTTTTAGCTTGTAAATTCTTGAATTTATAACTTGCATGCTAGAGTCGTTCAAGCGGTAAGGATCAAACCACGAGTTTTCTTTTACTCTTAGTCTTGATCATTAAGATAATCCTACCTCGCTCATTTTGGTTTCAACTATCAAGATATCTATCTTCTTTTATGAAACGACTAGAAAAAAGAAAGGACTTCGGGGATTACCTCAAAACTTCCAGGAACAGAGGTGGATTGAAGAAGCTTAACAATCTTGAGCTTCTGATGTTCGTCCTTGTTTATGAAGTAAAAGGGAGCTCCAGATGGAACTATGAAAACATCTCCACATTTCACATCAAAGCTTTGTCTCTTTTCCTTGATCACTGTGATCGTACCTCGTCCTGCAACCAACCACCACAAACTCCATAAAAAAAAGGTTCAAAAGTTTAAGAAATGAAAAAGTGTGGTGAGGGAAGGAAATAAGAAACTGGCGTACCTTCAGCGACGAACAGAATGATTTCAGCATCGAAATGGGAGGGACTCACGAACGTGGAAGGATTGGCCTCCACCAACGAAACCCTATAATTCTCGATCACACGAAGAAGCTCCGATCGCTGAGTGAATCTCTGAAGAACCCTAATTCTACCCTCCCCTGTTTCAACCCTCTCTTCGAAATGCTCATCATCAAACACATACGGATTACTCTCTCCATACTCTTCTTCTCTTTCTTCTTCGCTTTCGTAATACCTTCCTTCTTCTCTCTCCCTTTCCTTCTTCATCTTATGGTACTCATCGCACATTTTCTCGCAATCGCGCTTCTGCTTCTCGTCGAACTTCTGCTGGACCCTGCACTGGTGCTTACACTGCTCCAGCTCAGGGTCTTTGGAAGCGAGGCAGCCGACGGTGACAGATAGCAGTAGGAGGAGGAGGTAGATTTTGGAAGCCATTGTTGCTGAGAAGTGAAGGAAAGTGAAGAGGGGTTTGGGGACTATAAGAAGGGTGTTGTGGCCTCATGCATGAGGACTGGTGTCCTGTTTACGTGTCCATTAATGGAGGAACTTGAAGCTGGGTAATGAGATTTGGATGGAGGAGACAGGTAGCTCAACTTCATATTAATTCTCATTTCAGTGATTCTAAGCATGATATTCATAAAAGGATAACTCAAACCTGGGGACGATTCATTTGGATTCCATCACCTTGTGGCATCTGCACAACTCTCCACGTTTGTCCTCACCAAGTTTCTAATAATATTTGGTTGTTCATGCCTTTCACTATAATTTCAAATCAACACAAGAAATAGGAAGGGAAGAGCCAGCCAAAGCCAAAAAATGAGATTCTATAATTTGATTCCAAGGTTCTATATCTCGTTCAGGTGAATCAAAGGCCAAAATTTCCTAAGATAAATCTAAGAGGGCGAAAAATCTATGAAAAACTGAACTTCGAATCAAGATCATAACACAAAACTATGAATTTACACCCATGTTCATAGCTTTGATTTCCATGGCAACCAATGATTGTTGTTTTTCTGTTAGGAGATTGATTAATTCTTTTTGAAATCCACTTTAAAGTCATAATCATATCTTCCATAGCGTCTGTAGACATTGATGATTTACAATTATTGTTTGCTTTTTTTCTCCTCTTCTTCTCTGCTCTCCTCATTTTTGTATTCAGAATACCTTCTGCTGAATACAGCTTCTCGTTTTGCCTGCTAGTTGCATCTTGTCCATTCGTTTTGCCCTCGTCATCGTCTTCTTCCTGCTCCATTGACTCGTCGTCGCTATTGTCCGATGCATTCTCCAGAACTTCGTCGTCTTGTGTAGATGGTTGATCATTTCCATTCTACATTGCAAAATGATAACATATAAAGTCCTAATCCTAAACCCCACATGTAAATAACAGAAAATCATCAGGCTATAAGAAGACGGATCTTTGAACAAGATGCAAATCTCGAACCTTTGGCTCTTGCATAATATTCTCATCCAAATTCAGTGGACAACTTGGGGGAACTTCAACAGAACTGAAATCATCGACGGATTTGAGGCTTCCAATGAATGAAGATTCGCCACCATAAACCTCGTCAATGTTGAACTCTTTCCCAAGCTCTGTGACGATCCTTGCCTCTGAAGGTTCTACCTGACTCCTAACTGGGGGCATTGTGTAATATGGAATTTTGCCTATGACATCAAGCAAGCAGCTTACTAAGAGCCCGCCACCGGGAAAACTTATTTATGCTTTGTATGGAAGCAGCCATTTTCTTCTGTCCTAAACTAAACAACAAATCTAATTTCTTATCACAGAGAGAAAAGGAACATTTTCTTTTGTTTTGTTTGATGACTTCGATTCAATAATGCAAGCAGGCAACTAGTTTTGCACTTTTTATTTATCAATAGAAAGTTTAGACTTTTTTTCTTAAAACAGAAATACCTTCGTTCCAGTCATGTAGAACAATTCTAGCAGCAGCTTCAACATCCACAATTCCCCCCTTCTTAAGTTTGCCTCGAATAACCGCTATCTTCTGCAGAAAATCGTCGACCGTATCGAAGCTTGAAAGCTTATACAGAGTTACCAAGGTTTTGGATGGGCAAAGCTTCAAGATCTCCTTAACTAAAATATCCAAAAGTAGCAAATAAGCTTTGGAATACAAAACTCGAGGACCACAAGAAAAAGAGAGTTAAAAACATGGCAAATCAATTTACCAGGAGCAACGGGATCTTCCAACTTCTCTATTCTTTTGCAATTCCGCAAAGCTATAGATGGCTCATTTTCCTTAGACCTTACCATTACAACACCAGGGCAATCCAACAATTTGACATTCTTGTCCAAATGGACCTCTTGCATCGATCTAGTTAATCCTGGCGTAGCACCAACGTTGACAACATGGGATCTCTTCAGACTATTGATAAGACTGCTTTTGCCAACATTAGGCAAGCCAATAACACCCACAGTAATTGATTTTTTAATCTGCCAAATTCAAATACACAATGGACCACATCGATTAACCAAAATTGTGAAGGAAATTTCCAGTCATTGATCAGAGAAACTTTAACAACAACAAATATATATGCTAGAAAACTAATCCATGGAGGAAGGATATAACAAATCAGTGCAAATACATCCAAAAATAATCATCAAAATCAGAGTGGGATGATCAAACATATCAAGCTTTCAAATTCACAAAAAGCAACGCCAAATAAAACAAAACAGAATGTTCAATTCTTGAAAGTTGAAACGGTAGAAATACCTCATAACTTCTTGAATAATTCTTCAACAATTTAACTAGTGTCAGCTCCAAGACAGTCACTTCTCTGCAACAAATTGCTCGTTTTCGTTTTGGATGTCTTTGAAGATTTCCAACCTAAGTTGCACCTTTGTTCTTGCGTGCTACACTTGAAGGCAACGGCAGGCAATTCTTCTCTCATATAATTAAGCCACTTCTCCACCGCCTCTCGAGGAACAAGATCTGATACAAAAAATATATATAAATACGCATTAAAATTATAACTGCTACAGATGAAGATAAATACACAGCTTATTAGGCATCACATGACTAATCCATCCACGGCTTTAAGAGGATATCTAATAGCTTGTCACTAAGTTCATCTGATTAAGAGCAAGTTAAAACTAGTAAGCACGAATACTTAACCCAGTTTAACTTATAAGTGACAAAAAAGCAGTCATTTTACACAAAACTTAGTCTTACATCCTTCACTGGTTTTCGACACATCAAGTCAAACATGAAATGCAAATTCACATATATTAGGAACAAATATTGAAATTTTAAAGAAAAACATTGAAATCAGTTTTGAAAAAAATGTATGCGATAACCGTGTCGTATGAGATCTATTTTCTATGTTTATATCCATCTTCATTAGTCAGTTGAATTTTGACACAAGGGGAAAAATTTACCAATTTTGTTCAGAAGTAGTACAAGATGCTTATCAGGACCCGCTTTCATCACCATCTTCTCCATATCAATACAACGGGTGCCAAGGGGATCACGTGCATCCAAAACTTCTAAAATAACATCTGATGCCTCAATAACTTTGACCAATTCCTTGTAGAAACCCTGTCTGAGTTATCTGCAAATTTATAGTCAGAAACACAACGCAAGACAATGGACATGAGTATCACAACTTGTTTACTCCATTTTTTATCCAAAAATCTTCATAGAAAACAGCCTACCACGATTCCGGGCAGACCCTACAGATTTGTCTACATTCCTTATCTCTACTAAACTTCGATCTGCAGAAGGCATATTATCATCATCTAGCAATCCCAACTTCCTCTTTTGAGCCTGAACAAGATTAAACAGTCAAATTACAAGTAAATCGCCACACAACGATGTAATATGAATGGAGTAACAAAATGCATGTATACATGCATTCACCGGCACATAAATATATACATGCATACAAAATCTAAAAACGTCCATGATAGAAAGTATCAAAATTTAATACCCTCTCCTTCCGAGCAGCTTTCTTTTGTTCCATCTCATCAAGAGCACGGGCACGACGAGCTTCAAGAGTTTTGAGCTCCTGTTCCTTGAAGGGCCAATCATTGGGAATACCTGGGTCCTTCTCAACTTTGCTCTTACCCTTGAAGCTTAGCTTCTTGGCTTCCTTCGCCTTCTTCTTGTGATGCTCCTTCACCTTCCTAATGATCTTGTACTTCTTCTTTAACGTTACTCTCTTGCTTTTACTCTCTACAAGAAACAACACATTTTAGAGAAGAAAACCAAGTGTGTCCCGGATGCTGCAGAGCACAAAATAAAATGTGTTGGCTTCCAAAATTATAAATAGAACCCACTTACTTTTGCTCCTCTTCACCATCCTTAAGATTCAGAAGACGAGGGCTTTGTGCAAATGGCCTTCACTGTCAACACAAGTGAATGACTCAGACAAATGTTCTTCCGAAGAAAACATGAGGCAATATCACAAGCAATAGACAAAGAAAGCCCAGGATTCAAAATTCGAACATACGCCTAATCAAAGTTCATCTGCATCAACATATTTTTTCTATATTCAAGCAAACTCAACACCATTCAATCAAATTCAAACTCAAGATGAGTTTTCTATTTTGCTTGTTCTTGTGCTATTTTTTTTTTTAACTGATAATAATAATAATCTCAATATTTCAAAAAATTTATAGCCAATCAAAATACAGCTGAGTTTTCTTTTTTCCTTTGTTCATCCTAAACTTCCTCTTCTTCATATAAGATCAGAACAGTATGTTTTTATCCTTTTTATTTACGGGATTTTTTTTTCCTAATCTTTGATGCATACACTCTTAGTTTTATGTTAACCCAACAAACAAAATACAAAAAATATATATAAAAAAAATAATAATAAATCAAAACCTGAAAATCTGAAAATGTGCGGCGGTACGATATCACCAACGGGACAGGCCAGGGGCTGAACCACTGTGCTTTTCAGGAAAAAAGAAAAACAGAGATAAGTAACTTCAGTATCTCCGTTTGCTCGGAGAGGCGAGAGACTGTGAAAGGGAGGAGCAGCAGCGACTTCGCCGGAAGGATGATAGTTCAATAGCTGAGAGCGAAGCGTCCGTCGGAGACGGCGTTAGGGCGGGAGTGGAGGTCCAGCCGTGAGTTAAATAGGGTTTAGAGAGAAAAAAAAAACAAATAAATAAATAAACTGCTTCTGCAACGAGAGGAAAATGTAAGAAAAGTAAATAGAAAATAGGGAGAATTATTATTATTATTATTATATTAAGCGTAATAAATATCTAAAGTGAACAACCATGGCCTCACATTCTCGGCGCGCGCGGGGGGTGGATATACTGCAACTAGTCTCACCATTTCAGGTATCAATCTCTCTGAAAGAGCTCGAGCTCGTTGGACTCCAGATTCGTTTCATATTGCTTGGATTTGTTCCCAGGTGAAATCGAAATTGCTCTGCTTCTCTATCCTTGACCAAATTTAGAGCTGTTGAACCATTTTTTAATGCATGTTTACCTTTAATCGTATGAAATACTCATTTGAGCTTTGAATGGATTGTGCGGCTTTCGTTAGTTCTTGTGTTTGATATTGAAATATACTGGAATTTGCCTGAATTGACTGTCATATAATGAACATATACCCAGGTTCAAGAAAGGGATTGTGCTCTGTGTAAATGTGCTTATAGTTTTGTTGGCTACGTTCCCAGAGTTGATTTGGGGAACGGAGGCTTTCATTTATATAATCTTTGATACTCTTTCTGAGATACAAATTAAGTTTTGCTATTTGGGAAATTTGTTTCCGTACTAACTTGAGACACAGAATCACTTTGTCTAACAGTCAAGCTCACCGCTAGTAGATATTGTATTATTTCGGTTTTCTCTTTCGAGCTCCCCCTCAAAGTTTTTAAAATGCGTATGCTAGGGAGAGGTTTCCACACCCTTATAAAAAATGTTTCGTTCTCTTTTCCAACCAATGTGTGATCTCACAATCCACCCCTCTTGCGGTCCCATCGTCCTCGTTGGTACTCGTTCCCTTCTCTAATCGATGTGGGACTCCCAATCCACCCCCTTTGGGTCCAGTGTCCTTACTGGCACACCGCCTTGTTAGCACCCCCTTCGAGGCTCATCGTCCTCGCGGGCACACTTGCCCGATATCTGGCTCTAATACCATTTGTAACCGCTCAACTCCACCGCTGGTAATTATTGTCCTATTTGGGCTTTCCCTTTCGGGCTCCCCTCAAAGTTTTTGAAACGCGTCTTCTAGGAATAGGTTTCTACACCCTTATAAAGAATGTTTTGTACTATTTGATGTGCTCCTAATCCATTTAGTTTCTTTCTAAGTTCTCCTAATCCATTTAGTTTCTTTCTAAGTTTTGTACAATCACAGACGATCCCTCAGTTCTTATTATTATCGTATATAATCTAAGCTCCTTCATTCCTTCTTCAATGTTTTAAAACTAGAGGAAGGTTGTGATTTAGTGTCAACCATCTAATGTTTTTAACTACGATCTTAGTTTATATATTTCTTGATGTTTCAGCAAGCTTGCCTTCTGAGTAAAGACTAACGAATACGAAAGAAAGATCATGTCTGGTTTGATTGAAGGACTACCTGATGCAATTTCCATAAGATGTCTTGCTTTTGTTCCATATTATCTCCACCCCAAGTTGGAACTCGTTTCTCGCTCTTGGAAAGCAGCTATTCGTAGCACCGAACTGTTTAGAGCTCGACAGGAAGTTGGTTCGTCCGAGGATTTACTATGTGTGTGTTCTTATGATCCAAATAATACATGGCAGCTTTATGACCCTCTTCAGAACCTTTGGATGACCCTCCCTGAACTTCCATCTAAAATAACGCACCTTGCGAATTTTGGCGTTGTCTCCACTTCTCAAAAGCTGTTTGTTCTCGGTGGCCGTGGTGATGCTGTTGATCCAGTGACCGGTGACCGTGAGGACAACTCTTCAACCAACGAGGTCTGGTCGTTTGACCCTGTAACTCGAACATGGTCCATGCGAGCACCAATGCTCGTGCCACGTTATACGTTTGCCTGCTGTGTTGTGGATGGGAAAATTGTAGTAGCAGGTGGCTTCACCAGCTTATCAAAATCAACTTCTCAGGCAGAAATGTATGACAACGAGAAGGATGTTTGGATTCCATTACCTGATCTACTTCACACCCATGATTCAACCTGCATTGGCTTGATGATTGGAGGAAAAATGCACGTTATGTACGGGGGGGTCTCCACGGTGCAAGTTTTTGACAGTTTGGAGCTGAAATGGAGAGTTGAGGATTACGGCTGGCTTCCCGGCCACAAGGCTGTGGTTGGAGGTTCACTCTACACCATGAGCCAAGGACTTGTCTTCAAGCAGGAGGAACGAGACGCGCAGGCTGTTGTTTCCGCGTCTCAGTTTGTCCAAAGGATCGGTATGGCAATAGTCGGGTTTAGAGGTGAATTGTATGTAATTGGAGGCGTAGTTCGCCCCGAACGCTTCGATGGTGACCTTGTAAAACTATCTGACGTCCATGTTCTTAAGGTGAGGAATGAGAAGCCAAGTTGGTATTGTGCTGCTCCTATGAGCCGATGCTCTGGGACTGTTCTTGGGTGCACGGTGTGGAGAATATAGGATTTAAATGCTAATTTGAACATATGAACTATTCTTAAGTTGATCACTATTTTTTAGTCAGAGAATATGTAACACATGAACTATCCTCAATTTGATGCTTCTACTCAGTTGCTAAAGTAAAAGAAAAAATCTAAATAAAAGTTAAATTTGAAAAATAAACAATTAAAAAAATATGAGACAAATATTTGAAAAATAAACAAAAAAAAAATTATTAAATACTTTTTAAATGGTTTTTCAAATGAAAACTAATCAGATAAATGATTTTTGGAGAGAGAATGGAAGATCGTGCATTCGTGGGGATAAATTTGAGGTGTAATGCGAGGGTATTTTCGTAATTTTGTTGTTTGAAATACAGCAATTTTCCGCCAATTTTCTCACGAGAACCCTAAAATTTTCCTAAACGCCCTAATCTTCTTAGTTTCAGTTCACCGGAAGAATGGAAGAAACGCCGGTAGAAGAAGGAGATACTAACAAAGATGTTGAGATTGCTCCGGCCTTAATTGCAGTTCATCCAGCCGAGAAATCTGTTGCCGTCGCCGTTGGGTCCGACCTACGTGTATTCGACCTCGTGTGAGTTTTTTCGGCTCCATTAATTTTTATCTTCTATAAACTTGGATTGATGTTACAATACGATTATAGTCACTCTCTTTGTACTAATTTGTTTAAAATTCAAATCCCATCTGTACTCACCTTTGTAGCCCTGTTGAATTGCTTGCTCGTATGTTGATGGATTGTTTTGAGTTAACTGCAGAGGTAATTGTCCGGTTTCTTTGATTGATGAATCTGGGGGATCATATCATAAAGACTCCATTAGAACGATTTGTTACGGTTCGAATGGGCAGCTCTTTGTATCTGCTGGTGATGATAAGACTGTTAAGATTTGGTCGACTGAGTCTTGGCGCTGTATTTATAATGTGTAAGTTTTATTGTTCTTTTTCTCCTGTCCTTTTTTCTAGGTGATTTATTTCGAGGATGTTCGTTGGCCATGGATTTGTGAACTGATTGATGTATTTAGGCGTTTTCACGTGCATATTTGCTTTATGAGTTGGTACACGCAAACCAGTGGCTTAAATATTGCGCAAATTTGGTTACTTTTTGTGGTTATAATACGTATAGTAGCTTCCGGATTATCAGGAAAAATTGTAACCAGCTGCATGCTTTCTTGATTGGTTTTCTTTGTGTACACTGAAGTTTTCATAATTCTCCTGACAGGGGTTCTGAAAAACGAGTGAGTGCAGCTGCCATTAGCCCTAATGGTATGCATGTTTGTTTTGCTGACAAGTTTGGGGTTATCTGGGTTGTGGATCTTGATGGAGGGGTTGACGGAAATCAACCTCTGGTCAACAAGAAGGCAGTGTCATTGCTTTCACATTATTGCAGTATAATCACTAGCTTAGTAAGCATTCTCTCTTAGCCATCCTTTTCTTTCACATTATTGCGTTTTCTGCAAAGTGGCTTCAAAGGAACACATCGCCCTTTCTTGATTTATAATTAGCTTCCTTATATAAAGATTCATGGCCAACATTGGGGGTGGGGATTGTTTTCAAGTTACTCTGAAATTTTACATTTGAACGTCGAGTGACTTCTATGTGGAGAACCAGGGCTTTGGATTCTCTTTGATACATATGTTTGAGCATAACGGGAGGATTTTGTATAATTGATTTTTTGGGGATCCGGAGGTTTGCTTATGCATTTAGTTTGTTTGTCATGATTGCCTATCTATTTTGTTTTGGAACAGATATTTTTGTACTTATATTCCTCATGAAATTTTCTTTTCTATTCAAAAGCCAAAAGAACTAATGTTGGATGAGGTTGATTCATATAATGCTATAAGATATTTATAATGGTGGGAAATGTTTCTGCTGTTCTTCTGTTTCTACTGTTTTCATGCAGTTAATTAACACAACTAATATCTTTATGATCGCAGGAATTCTCATTGGATGGGCGGTTCTTAGTTAGTGCAGACCGTGATTTTAAAATTCGGGTAGTCATTCTCTCCTCATTTGTTATGAGTGTAACTCATAGAAATTCATGTTTTTTAAAACGGTGTTGCTTTTGTTGAAGGTTACCACGTTCCCCACAAAACCTGTGAATGAAGCTCATGAGATTCAAAGTTTTTGTCTTGGCCATACGGAGTGAGTTTCCATGATCTATATCTAATATATGACAAGATATAGGTGGATGGTCAGTAGTGGTGGCATTTTTAAGCGGTATTTCCTTCGATTTTGATTCATATATTTATTCCATGTGTCTTTTCTAGTTTCGTATCCTGCATAGCCTTCATTTCGAAGCTGGAATGCCCACATGGATTTCTCATCTCTGGAAGCGGCGATTCAACTGTAAGACAGTCTCATATGAACTCCTAGTTTGCTTTTGGTGCAATATGTGAAACACAATCATATTTTGTGGCCTTTTCAGGTACGTTTATGGGATATTCTATCTGGATCACTCCTTGCCACTTGCGAGGTTGGAGATAAGGTGTTATCGCTGTTCTGAGCTTATTTTGGACCTCTAAAACTTTCAGTCGATAGTTTTCAAAAAATGAAACTGATGAACTCTACATTGAATAATACTAAGCTCTCTCGGAATTATTACCCTGATTAATGAACACTAAAGCTAGGACAAGATACTTGTTAACTTAGACAAGAGTTTATTGTATCCCATATTAAGATTTATGTAAAATATCTTTGGATTGTTCAAGTCTCTCTCTTCTGTAAGTAGAAGAGTTAAGTAAACTGTGCATCCTTCCCTTTTGTGGTATGGATCTTGATCTCCTGGTTCACAATTTGATTTCTCTCACTAACTTACTGAAGGTAGAACTCCTTGAGTCTAAAGAAAGAGAGGGCTGCCATTCAGCTGTCACAAGTATCTGCACGATTACCGATGGTGCCCTTGTTGCAGTGGCGATTCAAAGGCAATTTTCCCATCTATGCTCTTTTCTCTTATTTGGTGGAATCTTACCATCGAATTTTTTTACCTAATTTACGTTATCATTTTTCTTTGTAGCTTGCATGGAATAATTTTGCTGAACTGTGACCTGTCAAATCATACTCTATCTGTAGTCAAGGTAATGACTCATGGCAACTGGAGCAATCTCAATGGTTATTGTGACTGGGTTCTCCAGATTAATGTTTTATAAACTTCTGTTTGTGAGCATCTGAGTGTATTTATCTTCTTGTTTCAAGCTATAATTCATTTGTTATTGATATTTCAGGTGGTTTCTACAAGTGAGGAGACATTCATCCCAACTAGCCTATCATCCAGTTTCTCGACTCGATACCTATGGATGGTAACCGGTGTCTCCGGTTTGCACAATTTGGGGCACGCTTCTCTGGCCCGTGTCAAGGTCATCAGTGGTTTCAACAAGGACAATCCGAATTTCACTGAGAACGAGTTATCCATACTGGAAGATGATGCAATACCCGGGGGAGAGAAGCTGCTTGAAAAATTGCAGGGAGGAGTGACATTCGACGAAAAAGTGTTCTTGGCAGCTGCCGAAGCTGTTAAAACTGCAATGAGCAATCTGTTGACTAAGAAACAGTACTCGACAGAGAAGCGGGACTTCCGAAAGAGAACAAGAAATGATAGGAAGCTTAAACAAGGATGAGTATCACATCAGCAGCAACAGTAGCCCGTTTCATGTAAAATTAGTTCTTTATTCAACTTTTTTGGTTTAACAGAGGCTTTTAGTTCTTAGATTATTGTGATAATGTTCTAGTTTATTCTGCAAGAGAAACTTGACGTGCATTAGCCGCAGTTTTCTTGGTCAAAGCCATATCAGTAATAGGAAATTAGGAAGGTAAGGTAAGCTGGTCCCCTCAATTATTTTGTTGAAGAACATGGGCAATGGCCAAAATAGCCCCAATTGTCGTCGGCCTCTCTTTCTCATGGAAGAAAACTGGCCCTGGATCGATTAAGGGTTCCCTTTTTTATCAATGGAAATTGAATTTTGATGATAGATGAGTTGAAATTTGTTTGTTATATGTCTTCAGGAGGTGCACATGAAGCTCAGCAGCAGCCGGAGGGACACCAATTTGAAGGGTGGCAGGTATGTAATAATTAGCTTAAATTTATGTAATAATTTAGAGCAATTGTCTTGGAATTTAGTGGGATTGAAATCCATCAGCATCAAATGTCAATAATTGAGGGAATATTAAAGTAGAAGGGTGGTGGGTGCAGTTGAAAGAGAAGAGGACAAGCAAGCAATCTTCATCCTGTATTTGTTTATTTATTCATACCATACCTTCTAGTGAGTCATAAGCAAGCACGTCGTTTGCTTCATCACATGAAACTAAACTACTCTCCACAATTACGTAGTCTTGTTAAATTCTGCTGCTCCCCCACATTACTGATGGTTTTAACTTGATTTGGTACCATTACCAAAAGTCAGAGAACCTAGAGTAGACGAGTCTAATTCATGATAATGTAAGCTTCGTTTGAACTGATATTTTAAGTGTTTGAAAAAGTTTTTGAGTCTTGAGCATCCTATAGTTGTTAAGGGTTTTTTTGGCAGTAGCATTGTGAGATCCCACATCAGTTGAGGAGAAGGAAACATTCTTTATAAGGGTGTGGAAACCTCTCACTAGTAGATGCGTTTATGAGAAAAAGTAGAGAACGGAGAGCTCAAAAAGACAATATTTGCTAGCGGACTCTTAAAAGTTTTATTTAGTGATTGGTTTTGAAATGAAATTTCACATTGACTCCAACTATCCAATCCAATCAAGTATTTGAGCTCATTCTATAACAGCAGCTCAAATTTATTGCTAGTAGATATTATTTGTTTTAACTCATTATGTGTCGTCGTTAAAACGTGTCTACTATGAAGAAGGTCGAGTCCTACTCCAACTAGTATATTGCACCGTCAATGTAAAGTGGACAATATTTGTTATACGTCATACTTGGAAGGAGGGCTGGTGGTTGGTTGAGTTATCTTATTCCAAAAATATAATATTAGAAAGTTGGAGTCATCCAAACCTATAAGTGCGTGCCTTTCATTCATTTCTAGGGCTCTGTGTTTTGTACAAGCGTGTCAGAACAAAACACAAAAGATTCCAATATTTTTCCTTTTTATTATTATAAAATAAAACCTCTCTTTTTCTTTAATTTTATTTTTCATAAACATACTTAAATTATAAATTTAGTCTAAATTATAAAAAAAAAAAAAAAAAAATCCACCGACACAAAATTACCCATATTCTTTTATTTTTAATAAACGATTATTAAATTATTAATTGTTGTAGTGAGTTAAGATCTAAATTAGTATTTAAAAATGTTTGTAAATCTCAATTTCAATAAAAAAAATTAAAAATATTTATAGTACGAAAGTAAACTAAACGTTAATAAAAGTACTTTTTGTAATTTAACTAAATTTGTATATATATCCCAACCCAAACAGATTTAATTCAAAAGTGAGAGAGAGAGAGAGAGAGAGTCAGGATAAGGCTTCACGTGAACTAAGCATGAGAATGAACTGACACACTACACGACAAAACCCCCCACCATAAAAGATATGGAAAATAAAACTAATATTAAAAGAGAAAATATTTTTGTTATTCTATTAAATTTGAGTAATATCAAAATTGAGTTTAATTACTTGAATATAGTTTAATTAATTAGATACTTAACCATGGTTAAGAGTTAGATACTTAACCATGATAAGAGTGAGGGGACGAACAAAAAAAATAATAATATACTATTTTCGTGTAATGTATAATTAATTATGATTATTGTTAATTTACATAGCTTCATTATATATTCACGTCACATATGTGTATATAGTTCTATATGTTAAACCACGGCCCGCCTACCATATGACTAGGTGGAGTTGGCCCCTAGTTTTAGTTTTTTTTCTTCCAAATTTATTTACTTCTTTAGTCGGTCCCTCAATTTTGAGTTTAGTTTTTGATTCGGTATATACATTTCAAAATTTACTTTTTTACCCTCTCATTTGCATAGTCTTTACTTTTTGTCTTTAATAAAAGAACCTGAGCCGTTGTTGTTATTCTTTTGCTTGTATATATAACGTTTTTTTCAAAATCTTTCTTTCAAAAATCTCTCTCTGCCCTCGTTTTCTAAAACCTTCTTAAACCGAGACTAGAGGCTCGAGCATACGTCACTTGGCCGTAGGCAACGTAAGAACGAATTGACTTAGCTCACTTGTAGTTGGAAAGTGAGTGTCGCATAATCTCCCGTCTGCTTCAAAAGTGTAATTGTGACAAGTGATCACGATTTTCAAAACTATCTAATACAGTGAGAGTGAAAAGAAGTTGGGGAGATGGGATAAAGGGATAAGGTTTGTTGTAATTTGAATTAGTCATAATATATTTCCACTAAGTTAATCAAATTGTTTGACAACTTTTTAGAGTGAAAAAAGGAACCATTTTTGGGAACCCACTGATCTCATCTTCTTCATCTTCTTCATATTCTTCTTCATCTTCTTCTTCATCTTCTTCTTCTTCTTGTAAGCTCAGCCATGGAAGCCACTGAAGTCTAGCTTCCATTTTCACAACCTTTTCTCAAATTTCCATCCAAACCCATAAACCATGCTGAGGAACAGATCCAGAGCTGTAACTGGGAAACAAGCTTTAATGGCGGATCCCCCCTTTCAATCTCCTTCTTCTTCTTCATACACAAAACCACTTAGAAACCCCATTTTTGGTTCCCCAAGATTCAGAGCTTTTGCAACAAGAACAGCTGATCACTCTGTTCTTATTAGTCCCTCCTCTGTTCTTACTAGTCCCTCCTCTGTTCTTATTAGCCCCACCTCTGTTCTTGATTCCAAACCATTTTTCTCTCTCCAAAATTCCAAACCAATTTTCCCAGAAAACAAACACAAAATTTCACACCCAAACCCCATTGGGCTTGCTCTAATTGAGGACAAAAACGACTCCAAACCCACTAAGAGTCTCATTTTTAGCGCTAAACTTCGTGTCCTAATCCCTCCTCCCACCGTGGACGGCGGCGGAAGCGGCGGCTCTGGGTTGATGACGGTGAAGGAGATGGAGGTGTGTGAAGAGTATACATGTGTTAGACGACATGGGCCTAATGCAAAAACCACTCATATTTTTGACAACTTTGTGGTCAAAAGCTTCGTTGATTATGATTCTCAGAAGAAGAAAAATAACGAGTTTCTTAGCTTTTGTTTCACTTGCAACAACACTCTTCACCTCACCAATGATATCTATATTTACAGGTAACATATTTTACCTTTTATTACACACAAATATCTCTATCATATTTACCGTAAATATGTTTTTCTTTTTTTTAAAATTTTTTTTTTAATAATAATCCGCCATTGTTGGTTGCAGAGGAGACAAAGCTTTTTGCAGCCAAGAATGTCGCAACCAAGAAATGCTGTTGGATGAACAACAGGAGGATTCATGTTGATCATCATCTTCTTCATAAAATTCATGCAAATTTTTACTCTTTTTTTGGTTTTTTTTGCTCTCATGCAGATAGAGATAAGAGAGAGAAGTGTTTGTAGAGAGAGAGAGAGAGAAATTTTCATAAAAAATATATGTTCACTAATATCATTGCTGCTTTGGCTTTTACTGTATATATATATATATATATATACATACATATATAATTGTATATGTATGCATGTATATGTATGTATGTGTCACTTTAATGATTATGCATAAATTTGATATTTGATGATCCCGACATTTTTGTATCTGTTATAACATGATCACGTCATTATTTAAAATGATTCAAACTAAATATAATTAACTTTTGAGTTTATATGCATCTTGATGATACAGATATTAATTGTCAACTTTTTTTAAAGTATATTTTATTTATTATCGAGACCATTCTCGATTTTAGTTAATTCTTTTATTTTTTATTTAATTTAAATTATAAATATATATTTAATAGGGTAATTATATGAGTTTTTACAAAAGCATACAAACCAATGGGAAATATTAAAATCATAAAGATCAAATAGTTTCCAAATTATTATTATTATTATTATTATTGAATTTTTTTTGTAGAAATTACTATAATTAAAATAATTATTTTTTAAAGAAATATAAAAATTGAGATAAAATATTATAAAAATTAGCAGAAAATTTACTATGAATATAACAAATGAATATTTAGGTTGATATAATTATTAGGTTATAATCAGTGAAAATCAACCATATCTAATGAATGAATTATTAAGAAGATGATATATATTAAACTATTTTTTTAAAATAATATTTTTAATTTTTAAAAAATAAATATGAAATTTACAAATCTTATAGAAAATGTAACTATTTATTATGGTATTATTGGTAGTTGGTATTAAATAATTTTAAATGAATTAAAAGGAAACTTAACCTCATATGAAACCAAATCACACACAAATTAATAATTGATTAAGTTAAATATTAATTAATCATTAACTTGTTTTATTTTTTACTATATTTATTTTTCGTGCACATGCTACAATAAATATGAGGTATTGAGATTTGAACCAAGTCTATATTAATATATTTTCTATTATATTTAAAATTAGTAAGTAAATAAATTATAAGTAATTTTTCTTTTTATAGATTAAAAAAAATCAATTATTATCTAATATATTTGTACTAAAAGTAAAAAAAAAATTAAAAATTAAAAAAATGATTGAAATATGGGTTTGGATTCTGTTTGGAAATGAGTAAAAAGGGAAAAAGAGGGATTGTGGAGTCTCCCACTATCAATTGTCGATTCCTTGTCTCTTTCTTCCTTTTTATTCCAAAATTAATTAATAAAAAGCCAAAAATTTCAACCTCCACCATCATTTTTTTTTTTTGGTAAGAATTATCATTTGATGTAATACCGATATATTAAGTATTTGAAGATGATCCACTAAATTTTATGAACAAAATAGGTGAGAGAGTTGGAAGTAAAATAGGGTATAATTTGATTGAATAGTCGTTCGACTAGATATTGAAGATGAACTTCAACCAGTAAATGAATGACACGTATGTTTTTTAGAGATTATAATGATAAATCAATAATTAAGCTTTCTTTGCTTGATATAATTAAATATAGGGAATGCATTTTACTCCAAATTTAATGCATTTTATTGAGCTTGAATGTGTATACTTGTGTGGTGGACCCTTCAATTATGCTTCAATTATTCATATGATGAGTTGTAATACATTCAAAAGAAGATCAAGGATAAGAGAGTAAAAATTTAGGTCAGTCCAATATTTGCGATCATATTAAATGTGTTAGACGAACACGACTCTCCACAATGGTATGATATTGTTCACTTTGAGCATAAGCTCTCATGGCTTTGCTTTGGGCTTCCCCAAAAAGCCTCATACCAATGGAGTTAGTATTCCTCACTTATAAACCCATGATCATTCCCTAAATTAGCTGATGTGGGACTTCCATCATCCAACAAAATGATCAAATAAGTTAAAATTTAGAGGATTCGATATTCACTCTGAAATTTAATTTGTCAAGTTCGAATCATTCGTTCCTCTCTCCAACCAATGTGAGATCACACAATCCACTCCTTTTTGGGCCAACATCTTCGCTATATTTGTTTCCCTCTCCAATCAACGTGGGATCTCACAAACCACTCCCCTTCGGGGCTCAGCATTCTCACTGGCATACCACCCAGTGTTTAGCTCTAATGCCATTTGTAAGAACCCAAGTCCAATTGTGACATCTCCCAGTTGAAAAGAGGATCAAAACATTATTTATAACGGTGTGAAAACCTCTCCCTTCTAGCGGTGGATTTGGGCTATCACAAAATATGTCTCTAATTGAGAGGCCAAATATTTAAGTCCTCCCCGTTCGCATGTCTCTAAACTTATAGAACATAGTGTCCAATACCTATTTGGGTCGATCCAAAATTTTCAATTCTCTTGAAATCCAACCTTGCCCAAACTGAAAAAGATCTAACTCAAACCTTTGCTATTTGGATCGAGTAATATAAAATAGTGTTAAAATTCATTTAAAAATGCAAGAATTCAAAGGGAAGGATTTGGCATTACCCCTAAAAGTTGGAATTCAAAAGTTGGAATTCAAGAAGAAATTCACCTTAAAAAAAAGGCTCAATGGAATCAACCGACTCCAAGCAGATGAACTTTATCAGTAGAAAGTATAAACAAACAGGGTAGTGTATAGCTTGAAGGAATCGAAAAGAAACCTCGAATTTCTCTAAGCTACATTTCATTTACAAGCCTAAATCTGAGCTCTCAAAGTGTATAATGAACAAGAAGATTAAGTAAGAAGATAAGAGTTCAGAATTTACATCTTCTTTTCTAACAAGTTTGAGGTGTAGCTGGATTCCTTGCTGCTTTACCCCTGTTCAGTGCTTCAATCAAGCTCTATATCTAAGCAACTCTTCGCAGGTTCAAGAACCTTGAGATCGAATAAAGCTGTGAATATCTACCATCAGCTACAAATCCCACTTCTCAAAAACTTAAAAGAGAATCAAATTTCTATATCCTACCAATGATCTTGCATTATATTTAGTGAGCTTGATGCTCACTGAAACATCATTCATTCATTCATTCAGAGTCGATATCAAGGTTAAGGATTCGTCTAAGTGTTCTTGTTGCAGAATCAGCACCATGGAATGGCTCTCGTGTAGAAGGATGAGTATAGCGGCCCCAAGTTGGGTGAATTTTTTCAACTGATTCCGCAGCTGAATTGGTGGGAAATTCGAGTGACACAGTTCTGTTTCCTGGCATTGAAAATTTGGGCATCGGCAGTGAACTTGCCGGGGGTGAATTTGAGTAAGTCGGTCCAGCCCAAAGCTCAGGAAAGGATAACCTCTCATAACAGCAATGTTCATCGAATTCATTGCTCTCCTCTCTTCGACAAATTTCCCTATTAATCGAAATTACGGCACTTCTCGAAATTGTTGAAATCGGCGTGCAGTTATAATCAGCGGAAGGGGGCGGTGTTCTGGGGGAAGAAAAAAGATAAACAGGAATCGAAGAAATCTTCAATGGATTAGGGCGAAATTGATTTTTCCGTTTTCCTTCTTTAATCGTCAAATTCCCTAATCGATCCGATTCTAGAGTCTTGGCCAAATAGCAGAACTCATCTCTGTACTGTTCTACAATCACTAATGTTTCCATCGCAGAATCAAATTCCAACAACATTCAATTGCAAAACCGATTCAAAGAACCACAAAACACCGAAAAACATCAAAACAACGACGAACACGCGAATCCTCAATCTAAAGAAACAATAAAAACAAGAAAGAGACAAAATGCGATTCAGAACACAGAAATTCTTCGCTATAATCGGAAAAAAAAGAAAACGGAAGAGATGAAACATGAACTGACCTGAAATTTGGAGAAGAAATAAATCCTCAACGAACGATCAAATGTAAGATAGTGAAGATCAAAACAAGTGCTCTTTCTACGAGCGATTAAACTCGGAACTTGAATGAATCGGGCGGCTTGTTCTTCATCTTTCCCATCCTAGTCGGGTTTTAAGAAGCAGGACCGGGCTCGGCTTTTTATGAAGTTTACGGTATTTGTCCTTGTGTTTGACTGAATTTCCTCACCGTGGGTGGCAGGATTTGAGGGGTATCTTTGTCTTTTCCTCTGTATTTACAATTGGAAATTTGAAATTTGAATGGTAAGTCCTTTGAAATAGAGGGAAAAATATTGTAATAAATCCAACTAGAGAATAAAGGCGCGATTTATTGCATGTTTTTTTAAAATAAATTATTTTTTTCAATTAAATTCTAAAAATAAAAAATATATTTTTAAAACTATTTTTCCTAATTTCTAAAACTATTTTTTAAATATAATTTTATTTCCAACTTTGTTTGGATTCACAAAATGATTCTATAAATATTAAATTACCATAAATCAAATTATGAAAAGTGGGGAAGCTTTAAAATTGAGGACAATATTGTAATTTTTCTCCTTTTAAAAAAATTAATACAAAATTAAAAATATTTAATATAATTTTTAATGAATTGGATGAGATTATTCTTAGGAACCACCGACATCTACAACGGTATGATATTGTCTTGTTACATATTGTTGTCAGCCTCACAATTTTACAATGTATCTAATAGACAGAGATTTCCATACTCGTATGAAAAATGTTTTGTTATTTTTTCTAACTGATGTGGAATCGCACAATTCACTTCCTTTCAGGGCTAGTGTCCTTACTGGCATACCGAAGTGCTTTGTTCCATTCTCTAATCGATGTGAGATCTTACAATCCACCTCGCTTTAGGGTCCACGTCCTCGTTGGCACACCGAAATGTTTTGTTCCCCTCTCTAGCTGATGTGGGACCTCACAATCCTCTTCCCTTTCATAGCCCAGTGTCGGGCTCTAACACCATTTGTAATAGCCCAAGCCCACCGTTAGTAGATATTGTCCGTTTTAGCCTGTTACGTATCGTCGTTAGCCTCATGATTTTCAAATGTATCTATTAGGGAGAGATTTTCACTCTTAGAAAAGGTGTTTTGTTCCTCTGTCCAATGTACCGAAGATAAGAAATGAGTCGAGAAGATATACACATGTTTATTGTTCATAAATTCCAAGTGTCAATTAGGCATGCTGCCATACATACATCATTCATATCCACGTGTACGTATTTCCAACCTTTCTTTGAAACCTCCTCATTCTCCTTTCGACACCTGTAAAGCCCCTCCAATTTTTGTATTTAAATTCATTACCCATTTATTACAACAAATTTCAACCCAACCACACAACACAAAGACCATCAAAATGAGCCAAGCACAGCCCCAAAGACCCGCCGAGGAGTATCAGGATCCCATCAAATATGGCGACGTTTTCGACGTCTCCGGCGACTTGGCTTCCAAACCCATTGCCCCTCGTGATGCTGCCACCATGCAGGCCGCCGAGAATATGCTCCTCGGCCAGACTCCACGCGGCGGCCCCGCTGCTGTTATGCAGTCCGCTGCCAACATCAACGAACGCACTGGCCTTGTCGGTCACTCCGACGTGACCGATGTCGCTCGAGACCAAGGCGTCACTGTCACTGAAACTGTCGTTGACGACCAACGAGTCATCGTTGAGTCCATTGGCGGTCAGGTAAAAATTGCTACGAGGTTTATATAACCTTTGAACAGTCTCCTCTTCATCGAAGTTTGACTTCTTTTTTGAGTCTTCGAACAAAGTACACTATTTGTTCGACACATGAGTCACTCTTGACTTCTTGACTATACCAACGTGAGTCACTCTTGACTACACTTTGACTTTGATATAATGTTAAGAATCAAACTCTCCACGACATTGTATATTATGATATGTTCAATTTTGAGTATAAACTCTCGTGACTTTGCTTGGGGCTTAGGTGGTGGGACAATACGTTCAACCTAACGTTCCAATGAGATCTCCCGGAGCAACGCTCGACAAGGACTCAATAACTATTGGGGAAGCCTTAGAAGCAAGTGCAATGAGCGCAGGAGACAAACCCATCGACCAAAGCGACGCAGCCGCAATCCAAGCGGCCGAGGTAAGGGCCACAGGGAAGAACGAGATAACACCCGGTGGCATAGGGGCGGAGGCGCAGTCTGCCGCCTCGCTCAACACACGAGCCATGCGGGACCAGGACAAGACAACACTGGGCGACATTCTAACCGTAATTCTCGCATCAAAATTCAGTTGGGTTCTTTCTTAAAACTCTTAACCCATTGACACGTGTTGGTTTTTTAAAGGATGCCACGCGTAAGCTGCCGGAAGACAAGGCAGTGACGAAGGAAGATGCAGAGAGAGTGATAAGCGCAGAGATAAGGAACGACCCGACAATGGCCACCACGCCCGGAGGAGTGGCGGCGTCGGTGGCGGCAGCGGCGAGGATCAACCAACAACAGGGCTAGCTTCCGAAATTGGCTCGTGTGTACTGTGTACTATATCCACATAGTTTGTTTTTGCTTGTTCTACGCATCTCATGTCATCAAGTTTTGAGTCTTTGTATAATCAGCTTGGATTCTGGAGTTCGGTTAAATAAATAAATTAGTTAATTTAGAGAAAAAATATATATATTTTTTTTTAAATTGTTAATTTGTATTTTTTTTTCAAGTTTTAATAGAATAAAAAATAGTTGGTATTGGGGGTGGAGGATATATTATGGGCCTTTGTCCAGTGGGCCTAATTTAGTGCAGGCCCATACTTTGGTCAAATGGGGATATTAGGTAGTCAACCCAACTTAAATATAAATTATATAATTTTTAAAATTTTAGTTAAATATTACCCATTTTTTAATTAATGGTTAGACTCATTTATTGATAATTTTGATTAGTTTAAGATAATATTTAAACAACATTGTGTAAAGATGTTTTTTTTTTGTTTTTTTTTTCAGATTCAACAATGCGTACAGCTAAGAACTTAGATCTCTAATAATAATAATAATAAAAATAATAATCCCATTATTATTTAATTAATCTGCTTCCTTGCGAGCTTCTTCGCTTAATCAAACCTTAATCATTTCATTAAGCCAAGTACATTGTGAGATTTGCATGTTTATTTACCCTCGAATAGTGACGTGGATAATTGTGAGTCGAGTAGGATTCAACGAACTAAAGGGATCTCTATGGAGAGACGAGAGAGAGCATGAAGACATATGAAGTGACTGAGCTTTAAAGCTATACGTTGAATGGGGATTTTAAGCCTACTCCACTTGATTCAATCGAGTGCTCAAACCAATTTACGCCACTTGATTCAATCGAGTGCTCGAACCAATTTACGAATCTAGTTGTACTCTTCTGAAGATTCCGATCCGATCATCATCGCTGAAATCAATTGTAACAGTTCAAGCCCACAGCTAATAGAGATTGTCCTATTTAGGTTTCTCTTATGGAATTTCTACTGTCTTATAAGGAATGTTTTGTTTCTCTCTCCAACCGATGTTGGACCTCGCACCAGCCAGCAGAGGATTACAACTTGGAGAGTAGAACGATCCATGATCAACTCTGTCTGTTCCCTTTATGTAGCTGAGAATCCTGTTTACTTCCTTCAAATTCGAGGTTCTCGGTGTCTCCATAAAAATGCTTATAAGTCGTGTTCAACATTCTTAGCATTTTGTCACTCCGAATAAGGAAATGGATCTAGAAATAATCGGCGTGCACCCACGAAAGTATAGATACAACCATTTTATACGTTTATTTTGGACATCAAATAATTAATTTAATTAGTAAATATCTAACATAATTGAAACGTTTTAAAAATTTATAATTAAATAGATGGAATATTTAAATGAATAATTCTTTTATTTTCTTTTTTATAATTAGAACATGTGATTTCAATTCTTTTTTTTATTGAGAAGTTATATTTCAAGAGATTTCTAGGAAATTCATTATTGTTATGATTTATTCAAGAAAATAAAATAAGAGATTTTAGTTTTAATATATAAATATAAATATATATATATATATATTCCCTAAGTTTTACAAGAAATTCATTATAATATATGGATTTTGACAAAAACATAATGAGATTTTGTTTGATAATGTAAAGGTTTTTTTTTTTTTTTTTAATTAAAAAAAACGCATCAGTTCGTATAATTTTGAGATAAGATTTGTTCCATTTTCTTTTATTTCTTATTTATTTATGATAGTTTTTTGTCTTTTTCAATTTTTTGTCTTAAATTATTCGATTATTTTAAAATGATCTTTTGGATAACTTTCATGAGGCGAAAAATTCATCCTAAAATGCATTTACCATAAAGGTTGGGTTGAGTTGAATTTTTGTAAAGTCAAAAATTCGGTTTGATTGGTAGGTTGACATTTTTTGTTCGGGTCAACGCGACCAACTCGAAGTAGCGTTACAACCCAACCCAACTTTACTTTTAAAAGATTTAAGAATATTTAACATCTGTAACCGATAATTCAACAAAACAACTCAACCCAAAAAAGAAAGGGTTAAGTTGGGTTCAGTTGTGAACTCTATTCGAACTGATCGAGTCACCAACTCGACCCGTATACACTAAAATGTTCCGATCTGGGTATTCATACAAGCATTCCACACACCCATGTGCTAGGAATGGCCAATGTTAAAGGTCACCTTTTCTTTCACCCATATAGAAATTATTGATTGTTTTGAGGGTCACCATTGACCATACCTTGGAATTTATGAAGTGTTGGATCCAAAGTAGATAATGTTAAGTACTAAGTAAATATGAGACAAGATATTTATTCAATTTATCTTAGGTTTATGTGTCTCTAAACAAATTTTGATTAATATGTATAAAATTGTCTACATTCATCTCGAGCATAGAAAATACTGAGTCTTTTTAGAATTTGAAATAGAAATAAGATCTGAAACTTCCTCATATATGTTGTGCCGGGGTGGTTTAAATCAGATCTCCATTTCTTGTATAATGAGAGAAGTTTACTATCGTCAGTGCAGTAATTATGCATTTACGCGTGTGATTGAAAACATAGGCCGACTACAGAGCCCACTTTGGCTTAGCTGTACCACTTGAAAAGCAAGCTATTACATCGAGCCACTGGAACTGTAGGGAGTCGAGGAGCAAAGCTGTAGATAAGATCGAAGAAAGGGTTAGGCTCTCGGTGGAGTAGAGGAGACGGTTAGGATGTGTAACAGTAATCGAAACTCGTTAGACGATATTTAAGTTTAAATTTTTATTTAGAATTTAAAATATTTTGTATAAATTATAAAAATTATAAATTAGAGTGGAGAGAGGCAGAAAAGAAAAACAATGCCTCCAACTACCCGTCTCTGCATGTGCGCCTTGCTTCCATTTTAAACCTAGAGAACTGAGTTACTGAACTCTTTACTATAGCCCACGCGCATATTAGCGCGTGTATTACTGTTTCATTCATTGCTTGAAGATTGAAATGAAAGCACGTGGCGATGTGGCTGTGAGTGCGCGTGGAATTAAAGAGACAAAGTTTGTGGAAGGCAATAAATGATCCGGTTTGACGTGCACAGGCTGTTTGGTCAACATTTTGGACTTAAAAGAACTCACTCACTCCATATGTAAGTTAACCCTAATTTCAATATTGTTAGAGGATTTGAGCATACATATGGCTAACATAATTTGGACCAAGGTTCCACCAATGCTACAAATCATAGCCCAAGGCTCGAATAAGGCGAGCCACGGGCGAAAAGTTTGTAGGCTCGCTCGCCTCAACCATGGCCAACTAAGTTATTGGTTGAATGTGTGTAAATTGTACACCCATGAATTGAAATAAGTCTGATAAGTCCAATTTTGACAACTTCCCCTCAAGGTTTTGAAACGTGTCTACTAGGGAGAGGCTTACATACCATTATAAAGAATGTTTCGTTCTCCACTCTAATAGATGTGGAAGCTCACAGTCCACCCCCAAACCAGTGTCCTTGTTGGCCTACCATCCAGTGCCTAGCTCTGATAGTCCACCCCCAACCCAGTGTCCTCGTTGGCCCACCACCTAATGCCTGACTCTAATACCATTTGTAACAGCACAAGCTAGATATTATCATCTTTGGGTTTTCCCTACTGGGCTTCCCGTCAAGATCTTAAAACGTGTCTTCATTCCCTCTCCAACTAACGTGGGATCTCAGAATAAATTTTCATAGTTCGTCTATTAGAGAGAGGTTTCCACGCCCGGGTCTTGAAAATCTTTATCTACCATAAGCGTTGGAGCCTATGTGGTAAACACAACATCAATGTGCAACTTTTCACTTGGGTCATCTATTTTTAGTCACCTCATACTATTTTTAGTCACCTCATACTCCCAAATTACAAATTCATCATTGAAGTGCGGGCAAGTTAGGTGAGTTCTCCTTACCCATATTGAGAATGGAACAATTATCATAATCACTAATAATTAGACTTAAAAGATCTCTAATTCAGCTTTTAATTTTATATCTAATAAGCTCGGAGTATATTTGAGGGTTTTAATAATTAACGAATATGTTCTTATAAGTTCTCTTCTCCATATAAAGAGAGGAGATCTTCCCATTGCCCATTTTTCAAATTCACACCAAAAAATGCCGACCAAACTTGGAAGAAACTATTTGAATCTGTGTTTTTCAAAGATCAAAAGCCAACCCTCCCCTCAATCTTCTCCGGCCACCACCCACACGGCTGACCACCGCCGTCAACCCCGCTCATTCTCCACAGCCGCCACCTTCATCTCAAACTACAACTCCCTCTACGAAGTCACCACCTCCGACTCCAATTCCACCTCCAAACCCCTTTTTACCCCCGCCAATGATGGTGCCGATCCCGACACCTATGTCGCTGTCGACTTCATCACCGCCTTCACCTCCCACCGCTTCTTCTTCTCCTCCCCCGGCAGCTCCAACTCCATCATAGAATCAACCACAACCACCGCCGCCGAATCCACAACCACTTCACTATCTTCCGACGACTCAGCAGGCGACGACGACCTGATGATCTTCAATAACAGCCTTGCAATCCCGACGTACTCGCCGGACCCGTATGTGGACTTCCGTCGGTCAATGCAGGAGATGGTGGAGGCGCGTGAGGAAATCGTGACGGCGACGAAAAAGTCAAGATGGGAATTCTTGCATGAGCTTCTTTTATGCTATCTCGCACTTAATCCTAAAACCACTCACAAACACATCCTTAAAGCCTTCGCCGACCTTGCGACGGTAACAAAACCGCCATTGCCGCCGGAGGCGACGGAGGCGGACGGAAGCAGGGATCGGGAAGGTGAGTCAGTAGCCGACGGCGGCGGGTGTGAGGTCTCCGTCCAACAAAATGATAGAGATTGATGCATATAATTATTAAATGTGGGGTTGCATGAGAAATTGATTAGAAAATAAGTTTGATATGATTTTGAGTTTATAAATATTATATAATATATGGGGGAAAAATAATAAGTGGGTCCCACAAGACATTGGTTTTTGTAACCTTAATTATTAGATCAATCCCTTATCTTACAATTTTTTTTTCTTTTTTACATTTTTGTCCCATCTTATTTACATTTGTATACTTTTATTGCCACAATAAATAGTTCAATGCCAAGAGGTGTTTAATAGATTCGTAAATTTTAAAAATC